CACTTCCCATGTTTCATTCTTTTTCTGCCCTCATTTCTTCCATCACGGTCTTTTTCCACTCAGGATGGTCAAGTGCTTCATACACATTGTTAGGGATTCTGATGTTATCAGGTTCAGTAACAAAAGCACGATAATCATGAGAAAGAGTTGCATATGATACATACTTTTGGATAGGATGCCTGGTGCAAGAACAACTCTTCTTTCTTAAGGCAATGGGTAGATTGTCTTCATTTACTGCCTCTGTGGGTTTAGGATCTTTCATCTGGTCAGATTCTGGCAAGGCTTTGGGCCTGTTGAGCTCTATAGTCTCTTTATCCCGTTGTGACTAAACCTTGTGATATTCATTGTTGGTTTTCTCTCCCTCTGCCTCTGGCACTTCTGCAACGGTGGAGGGAGTAGGTTCAATTTGTGGGACAGACTCAACAGATGGAGCAGACTCAAGAAGTGGTGGTGGTATGGGTTCAGGTATGGGTTCCATAGGCTGAAATTCACTCAAACTCTCCTCTTGAATTGAAGACGTAGGAAAATAAGGATCATGTTCGGAGAAAGTGACATCGCGACTAACATATAGACGCTTGGAAACAGGATCATAACACTTATATCCCTTTTGACGAGAGGAACACCCCAAGAAAATGCACTTAACATCACGAGGATCAAATTTGGATGGAGTTTGATGAAGATGAACAAAGACAGAACAACCAAAGACACGAAGCGGAAGGTGATGATCAAGATGAGCAACAAGATGAGTTTCCCGGAGTTTGTCCGAGGGGGAGACAAGAGAGAGAACACGACTATGCATGTGATTGATAAAGTGAGTAGTGGTAAGGAGTGCGTTGCCCCAAAAATGTTTAGGCATATTACAAGTATAAAGAAGTGCTCTAGTGACCTCAAGTAGATGCCTATTCTTACACTCAACCACCCCATTTTGTTGTGGACTAGGAGGATTGAATGATGCCATTGGTTTTTAGAAAAGTGGCTAATTGGTGATTAAAATATTTGATGCCATTATCAGTGAATAAAACTTGAATGGTGGTGCTGAACTGATTTTTGACAAGGTTGAAAAATTCGATAAAGACAACGGGAACAACGGATCTTTCTTTAAGTAAGTAGATCCGAGACATGCATGTATGATCATCAATAAACATGACAAACCACTTGGCATGAGAACGATTTGAAACACGAGACGAACCCTAAACATCGCTATGAATTATAGAAAAATTATAGAAAATGGACGAGTGGTTTTGTAATGTGATGGTGGAAAAGATGTACGGTGGTGTTTGGCAAGCTCACAAGAATCACAATGCAGAACAGAATTTTTATTAATGGTAAATTGAGGAAACAAACTTTACAAATAAGAAAAACTAGGATGACCCATCCTTTTATGCCATAATAAAATATTATTATTGTCAGAGGCAGAGACAAAACCACTTATTCGAGCACACAAGGCACTCGTGGAGACGTCAAGATAATAGAGTCCATCATGTTCCCTAGCTGTGCCAATCATCCTCCCCGATGAGAGATCTTGAAAAATACAGAAGGTAGGAAAAAAATAAGAGCCACAATTTGTGTGTTTAGTCAACTTGCTAATAGAGAGAAGATTGCAAGCTAGGTGTGGGACATGTAAAACTGAGTCAAGGCGAAGAGAATCAGAAATATTAACCATTCCTTTCCCAGCAATAGTAGAACCAGTGCTAGTAGTGGTGGTGATTTTCTCATTGCCAGCATGGGGGAAGTAAGTAATAAACATACGAGCATCAGATGTCATATGATCAGTGGCACCTGTGTTAACAATCCATTTGTTGGATGGCAACACGGTATGGAGAGCAAATGGAGTATTACCTGTTGTGGCTATGGAGGCAGAGGCAGTAGGTGGTTGTTGCTGCGTTTGAAGACCTTTTAGTGCAGTGAGCAATTGATGCAGCTGTCAGAGGAGATGAGTAAGAGTCTTGAGACACGTAATAGCCATGGGGCTTACCCTTACGGGGTTTCAAATCAGCTGGTTTATTGTGGATTTCCCAACAACAGTCACGGGTGTGACCTGGCTTTTCGTAGTGATCCAAGAGACCTTAGTCTTATTAGATGATGAAGAAGTGGCACCCTTACTGACAAGAGCAGAGGACTCAGAAACAAAATGAGACGGAGTAGATAACATAACCTGACGACGGAGGCTTCCCGTCTGACCTCCAAGAACGCCCCACGAGTGGTTGGGAGTGTTGATTGACTCAGTATACGACTTCGTATCTAATCGAACTCAAGGTTGAGACTAGCAAGAAATTGGAAGACTTGTTCTTTCTCAACATTCTATCGATAACGGGTAGCATCAACAGAAGAGGACCACTCCTCTTGGGTAATCAAATCCAGTTCCTGCCACAGAGCAACGAGGTCCAACCAATGTTTAGTAAAAGAACGAGTACTTGTTTTAACTGCCAAATATGAGTTTTAATCTCATAGAGTTGAGACAAGTCTTCGCCGTTGGAATAAGAATCACGCACGACATCCTAGATGGCTTTAGCTGATGGAAGGTACATGAAGTTGCGCTTAAGTTGCAGAGACATAGCGTTGATCAGCCACGACGAAACCAATGCATTCTCGGTTAGTCACTGTTGCATAGCTGGAGATGCTGGGTTGCTGGGCTCCTTCGACTCGCCGGTAAGAAGTCCCATTTTTCCACGACCGCCAACGGCCAAACGCATGGCTTGGGCCCACTCCTGGTAGTTAGAGCCAATCAACTTCTCCGGGACGTGATGATAGGAGATCCATCGTGACTAGAGGTCGACCTGAGGGGACCTCCAGTCTGGGTTGAATTCATTGGGGAGCCACCAAGAGAGGAGTCTATTGCGACCAAGTCTCCCTTGGGGTTTGACCCCACTCGAGCTTCCTCCGATGTGGAGGACGATGAGGATGATTTGGCCGAACAGGATGACGGATGAGAGTCCACTGGCTCTGATACCATATAGAACTCGTAAACCTTGAATAATTCTCATATGTATTGATTTGTGTACTGTACAGGTGATATATAGGATTGAGGTAAATCATGAAGATTACATGAGAGATTAGGGAGAGATATATTAAGAATAATTCAAAATAAAAAACTGATCCCCCTTAACCCTTCTAGTATTTCGGTGATATTGAAATATTTCCTTATTGACCACAATTCTGTTCCTGAATTGCTTGTTTTGTATGCCTTGTTATTTTGATGCCTTTTAAATTATCTTTAGTGGTGTGCCAGCATTTTAAGGGTTTATCCTACACATTTATGCATTTGTTTCTTATATGCTTAACTGATCATTTTGTTCTTATACACACACGCACACGCACATGCTGCCAATGTTTTTTATTCCATCTGGTGTTATTCAAAACTTGGTTTGGGCTTGAGGAGGACCGTTAGACTGGGAATTCTTCTTTTCTGGATCCTTTTCCTCATTGTTACCGATTATCTGCTTTGCATAATGCATCTGTTTCTTACCTTTTAACCTGTCAAAGTAATGGATTAGCTTGAAATTTTCACTTCTCTAAAAACATAAATGAAATTCACTGGTTTGGTTGACCGGCTGTTTTCCTTTTCCTGTTGTCTTCTTTTGATTGAGGACTATCTCTTATTCTTTTTTTTTTGTATTATTCCCTCTTAATAGACAAAACTGGTTGTTTTTAATTGATTTTTGGGCATTGATTCAATGGATAATTACTTATCTTGACTCGTGTACTTTGTACTATCAATCTGCAATGTATATGCGCGTTGCTTTTTACACACTGTGTTTGGTCAACTGTGTTATCTATTTCAGTTTTTATCATTATTTAAAGTTGTTAATCGGTTGCTCATAGGAGCAACTCATGTTTGTGAAGCATATGGCTTGAATATGATAGCTCAATTGATGGATCTTATTTACTTTTTCAGGTTATAGAAATGTCTGGGGTTTGTGCTGCTTCTGACATTTGGAGTGTTGGCTGTACTGTTATTGAACTTCTTACATGCGTTCCTCCGTATTATGATCTACAGCCTATGCCAGCTCTCTTTCGTATTGTTCAGGTGTGCCTCCACTAACCTTGATTTCTCACGTTGATTTGATCAATAAAGTTTGACGCTTGATTGTCTAATTTGTGAACTTGATCATTTGCGGTTTTCTTGCTTTATTTATTTTTCTGAGCAAAAGTTTCCTTGTATTGTTGAAATACTCAATTTTTTAATGAAGAAATGATTGATTGATGAGATGAGATAGAAGGACTCAATGGAGGTCAAGTAATCCTCCCAAGCAATGCTAAAGTAATGAAGAAAATTGAATAAACATTAGGGGGTGTTTGGTAAAACCAAAACCATGGTTTCAGAATCACTTTTCCGCAAAATGAGGTAACCTCCTCCACATATTTACTTCGTAATCCGTAAAAGCACTTCTGAAACTATGGTTTGGTTTCTATCCAAACACCCAAAAAAAAAAATCAATAATGAATTCATGGTTCCAAATATTTTCTGTGAGGAAATCGAACTTGCTCTTACCCTTCCGCTGTTCCTCCAGGATGAGCATCCTCCAATTCCTAATAGCCTTTCTCCTGATATTACCGATTTTCTGCGTCAATGCTTTAAGAAGGTAAGTGTTTTTTATCTTAGTGGTTCGTTGGTGATTCTTAATGTGTGCGCTGTGTAATCAAGGGATTGTTGCTGGTTGCATATTACTTTTCCTGTTTTTTTGGGTCTTTGGTTTCCATATCCCATTGCCTACTCCAAAACCTTGTAGTATTTAGCTGCTATTGTTTGTTTTAGGAATTTCTTGAATATACCTTTAGCATAAAATGGGAAAATTGAGAAATTATTCAACTGTTAAAATTTGTGAATGGAGAACTAACTATACAATATGCCTGTTTCCTATTGGAAATAGGAATTGTTAGTCAAGCTACTTAGGTAGGTATAATTTGGGACACACACCCCCTCTTTTAAATCATACGTACTTGGAGTGATATAAAAAATTTCTATTGAGTGTCTATCAATAAAAATGAAGAAAACGGGTACAAAAATGCTTCCATTTCCTGCTTTTGCTTTTTCTTTAATTGCTAAATTACATTTTAATACTCTGTTTGTTCTGTTTCTGTTCAGGTATTTTGTGCTTGGAAAGTATGCATTATAGTACTTTGTGATTTAGAGCGTCAACATCTTAGCACATTATGGTTTCAACATCAGAATTAGAGGCCTTTTCTCAATGCAGTGCGATCCCTTTTGATAAAACATAGAGGGCCATCATCGTTTTTAAATCTTACCACCTTTTATTGCCTCAATTTCAGCACTGAAATGGCTTTGGTTTCACACTTTATTTTGCATCAAAGGCTTCAAGCTATCGCTACACATATTTGATTTCATTGAATCAAACTTTACAAAGCTTTTGGAAACTAGGGATGTCCAGAAAAATTTTTGTGTTATGTTTCCTGAAGATAATTTTGGCCATATTGGGCACCTTGCCGGTTACCTTACTTGCATGTGTCATGTTGTTTGAAAGGTATGTAACAAATGGAGTTTTGCATAGCTTATGCTGGCCTTGCATGAGGCCATTTTCCGGGGTGCATATGTTTGTTTCCTATTTACCAGTTGCATCCACAAACAATTGTATAAAAGCTAAAAAAAATAAAAAATTACATCAGAAAGATAAATGTATGTAGCAAATGAAAGTATAGTTGATTTCCGGTAGTTATTGTAAATTTTATTTCATTGTATTCATTTATTTATCAATATATCAATATATAAGATGGTTATAAGAACTGAACCGGACTGGCCGGTCCAGCTAAAAAATGGGCGGGAAAAAAGGAAATAGGATGATAAAATCAGTCAAGAAAAAGCAAAACTTGGGGTTACTAAATCATTTTATTTTAAAAATAAACAGTCAAAACCTATCAACAGACAGCCTCTCAGCCTACGTTATGTTTTATAAACAACAGTTTGCGCTTCTCTAAATGAATGTGGGACATAAGCTTACCCAAAAGTCTAGCCCTTTCGCACAGTTGTCTTAATGACTTCTATGGATTTCATTGGTTAAATCCAACAACAAGAACCTTCAAACTCTATTTGCAGCTTCATGCCCTCCTTGTAAATCAGTAGAAACAACATCCATGAGAAGTCGTATTTAAAGTTGAGCCTGAATGTGAAGCCGTGAATTTCCATGGACAGAGAAATTGGAAGTTGAGATATAGTACAGAGAAGTGCAATTGAACGTTGGAGTTGGGCTATGGGCGAGAGTTGGCAGGATGAAGGTTTAAGAAGAAATGGTAGCCGGTAGGAGGTGTGCTGAACTAGAGGTTGACATGCATGGAATTGTAGGTTCCTTCGCTTTGTAGTGAGTTGCAGGTGGAATTGGAAAGCATAGGCTTTGATAGAAGAGAACTTGAAGCTGTTTTATAAATTTATGAAAACCCATTACATTGAAGAGTTGTTGTGGTGGAAGATATATCGCATGGGAGATCATAATGATATAACATATCTCTACTGGCTTAAAACTCCAGCTCAATTAAAAATTAGAGGTTAAGCTTAAGGGAATTGGATTTATTTGAAATTCAATTTAAGATGAGATGTTTTCTTCTCTTTTTTAGATAATATATTTAGTATATTAATATGAATTTCCATCGGTATTACTATGCATATATATAATTAAAAATATTTAATCTAATTATGATCAGTTTGACCACCATTTGACTATAGTTCAATTAGTGAATTTTTGAATTGTTGCCTACTGGTTCAATGATAAATTCGACATTCATAACACTGATATGTAAAATTTACAGGAAGCCACTCTACTCCTAAGTTATGAATAATGCAACTTATTTCTTAGACTCCATTCAAAGCCAGGGGGGCTTACATCTGGTTGGTAACTAAATCTCGAATTCACATAAGGCTCTGTTGCTTATCTCAGGATGCTAGACAAAGGCCTGATGCTAAGGCTCTGTTATCGCACCCATGGATACAAAATTGTAGGCGGGCGCTGCAGTCATCTCTTCGACACAGTGGAACGTTAAGGTAGATAGTTTGAGACCTTATCATGCTGTTACTCTGGGATTTCTTTTGGTGCAAGCTACATAATCTTTCTCCAATGTTTTGATCCGTAAAATCACTTTGCTAGTTTTATCTGTGTTTTGAAAGTAACTTACGGCTGACATTTTTGTTGTATCGGAATTTGAAGTCTGTCTGGAGCAATGCCTATGCATGGATTCTTGTGTAGACTTCCATGGTTTAAGGCGTCTGACTTTCAGCTTAATGAATCAGTTTTAACAAATTGATTATTTTCTCGCTGGATAAGCTTTTTCTATTTTCCTGTTTTAATTTTCATTTTTCATTGCTGAAAATGGTACCTTTCTTAGTTGTGTATTTCTACTTGGAGATTTGGAGTACACAGTAGCCTGCAGGTTGAGATCTGTGTCAATTTTATTTTTTTTGGAATTAGAAGGGCAAAATCTTCCATTTGCAATAGGTTAGGCTTGATGCCTTTGGCAAATTTGGAACAATCGTACCTACAATTTAGAGGGAGACCAAGAAGGACACTTAAAGAAGTCATTAACCAAGATCTTTTTTATTAATGACTTACCAGAGGAATTGATTTCTTATAGAACATAATGGTGTTGTGCGATCCATATAACTTACTCTACTTTGCGGGATAAGACTTCTTGTTGTTGTTGGTAGCCATGATTTCAGGCTAATTGATTCCTTCGTAGTTTATCCAAAGGTTTTACTTGCGTGTGCCATTTAGTTTTATACCAGCTCATTACGTGGCATTTTTTTACTGTGATTTTGAAGGAAAACATAAGTGGATGCAGTTAATGCTTTGATACACCTAAGTAGTCAATGCAAAAGGGAAAAGCGATCACAACAAGAAGCCAAAAGGGATAAGCATGATTATATCTATTGAGAAAACAATTAGAAAGGCTTTGCTATGGCCTAAACATCTCTAATGATTGGGAGTCTTCTTGCAAATTATATAATTAATGCCAATAACAATATGTAATATAAATTTTATTGGGAGCTATATCAATCATCAATCACAAACATCGTTGCTCATCTTTGACTTCATGTATGAGGGGCCACTGTAGTTGTCTAAATAATACCAGCTAGTAGCAATTATATGTAACAAAATGGAAGCCAACACATGTTTGTGATGACTTTTCTTAGAATATTCTGGGCATGCTTCTTATCATCAGATTTTCATTGAAGCTGCGAAGTTGAATCCCAATCCTCGGTTGGTTCCGTGCGAAAGTTCTCTAAGGCAGAAAAAATGAGTTTATGGTGCGAAGAAAAGGTATGGAGCATTGTGGTGGCAGGGTGGACTTCGAACTTAGATGTTCAGAAATTGAAGGATAATCTTTAGAAGCCCTTTGCAATCAAACCTTGGTTGAAATCAGAGTCATCAGAAAAGAATCTGTACTGTTGCATGCACAGAGAATAGCTTAATTGTGAATCAACGTCAATAACTAAGTGATAAGTGCAAAAGATTGAATAGTATTTCAAGAAAAGTCACATTGAACTGTTGAAGAAGTATAAAGAAGTACGATATACCTGGTTTCAAGACCAAACCAAATTCAATCTGGAATGCAAATATGCAATAATTCTTAGATCAAATTTCACTATATGTAGGAAACTGGTGGAGACCAACAAGCGGGATCTGCAGTCCCATATAAAGAATGTGGGTTGCTTTATGAAGTAGTTAATCCCCCCCCCCCCCCCCCAAAAAAAAAAAATCTTAATTTCTGGGGAGGTTCCTCACCCCACTAAGCTACCCTTCTATTGGTATCGAAGCTGGTGGTTGTTGACTCTAGGAAAGGCTACTTGTAAAAGTTTTTGATCTTGAGGAACTCAAGTGAAGTGGCAGAAAGTGCAACTGTATGTTGCTCTCTGAGGACGTTCACTTTTGATGGAGACCAAGCTAGTTTAAGATTCCTAGTCTAACACTGAGTAGTGTGTGTTTTCTATAGGATGCTTTGGTGGTTGATTCTTTGCCTTATTGGCTAGCTTTTATTTTTTATTTATTTGTTTTTGGGGGGTTTGTGGTTCCCATCCCAGTTGGAGGCCGTCCAAAAGCAATTATGGTACCCCTATGGATCTAGCATAATAGTTATGAAGAAGAAAACTGGCATTTACAATATGTAACGACAGGTTACCCCAGAAGTTTGAGCTGCAAGTCAGACTCAAAATTTCATTCATTGTATTGATGTTCTTTTTCTGTTCATCATTTTTTGACCAAATTTTGCTGTTCATCATTGCCTCTTCACTTTTCATAGAGTATATAATGCTCTTTTTTATACTACTTTCTTTTTTCCCCCCTTTCAATGCAATGCTGATTTTAAATGCGAAGATTCTTGAATGTTCCTTTCTATTGCGTTGGATCATTTTATTCTGATTTTGAGCCTAGCCGTAGTATTCTTGCTTTGTAATGATCACGTTACATCAATGGTTAGCTACTAATAAATTTTTGAAACTTTCTTGATCTTCATTCTTATAGATGAATGCGGGTACGGTGGATCGTGTTCTATTTGTTTCAGCTCTGTTGAAATATGTAATATTTCTGAATAGAACTTTTTCTAGAACCAGGAGTTTTCTTAGTTTACGTGTTAATGTCAGTGCATATGACTATGCACTTGTTTGTCTTTGAATAATAACAAAATGTTTTTCACTTCCAGTTCATATAATTGTTGTAGTTTTGTGAGTTGTGCAAAAAAGTTAGTAAGTTACCTCATGCAGAAATATAGAGGAAGATGATTCCACAGATGTAGCAGCTTCTGGTGATGATCAGAAGAGTGCTGGTGAAGGCTCATCTGTGGAGAAAGTGGTTAGTGTCTTTACTTCAGTGATTGAAGCAGTCTGGTTATATTTGCCTATGTTACTGGTTTCAATTTTGTTGTTTTTTAGAACCCACTGAAAGAGCTGTCAATTGAGGTTGTTGGTGGCAGCAAACGTCATGAGGACTTAGGTTCAGATTCTGATTTTCTGAATGAGAAAATAGAGAAGCAGGATGATGTGTTTTCAGATCAAGTTCTCACTTTAGCTATTCATGAGAAGCTGTCTCTACAAACTGGATCTAGTAAGCCCTGTTCTAATGGAGAAGTTGCTATCACAGAGATGAGTACAGATCATGACATTCCCAATACAAAAGACCATAATGAAGTCATGATGCATGGAGAAGTTGGATCTCCAGAATCACGAGGGATTGATAGAAAGCCTGGGGGAAAGGGTAGTTCTGTCACCAGTGGCAGTATATCATTCTGTTTTGGACCAAGAAGTCAGGACAATGGTTCCCTAAAGGTAAAGAGGGTTAACTGAAGTAGCTACTTGATTTTAAATGTTGCCAGGAGTCAGCTATAAAGCTTAATCATCTCTGGTACTTTAAGAATTAATTGAATATCATTTCTAATTCTCTAGTATTATGTTGCCTTGTTTACTGCTGTTATTTCTTCATGTTTGCCCTTTTAAAGATGTGTATGCTATGTGCTCATCAAGTCAGAGAAGAAATTTGTAATTGTTCTGTATTAAAATGTCGCTAATGAGCTTATACCAGAGATGGCAGCAGCCTCAGTGATGGCAACGGTTCAATTCTTACCCTGTCTCTTTTCCAGCCTCCTACTGTCAGTCTGATGCCTCCTTTGTAACAAAAAAAAAAAAAAATGTTGCATTGCCATTTGTTTTTTTCCCCCTTTCGTTCAAATGTTTTTCGTTTTGATTCAATAATAGGGTGCTCTGAGTTAGAAAATCTGCAAGTTCTTCTGACGCACCTTTTATTTTTCACTTTGAGGTGAAGTTTGCATTCCTCAGGGTCAGTGTTGTCAGAAGCAGCTGATGCAGCTGCATTTGAGGTGGTGTGGGTTGCATGAATCATGAAAATCTAGGAGATCAAATTGGATTCTCACTTTCATTTTTCTGGTTAACTGATACTCGAATATGTGCAAATGTCTAGCAAGAAGGGAAGTAAACGCTAGTACCATATAATTGCATAATACAAGGGATTCAAAAAGAAAGAAAGGAACAGATATGATTCCTATATTACTAGATCAAGAAGCATGTTGGGTGGCAAAAGCAGAACTTTGGTTATTTCCTGATGTGATTCCTTTGGCTCTTGAATTATCACTTTTTTTTTTATTTTTATTTAAAATCTCCTCTCTCCAAACAGTGTCAAATGGTTTATTGATATCTGGAGTCTGGACAAGTTTTGGTCTACAACCCTCACTTCATCAAGGTTCTTGCTGAAGCCTAAGAGAAAGTGGAAAGCTCTCCCTTTTTCTATTAATTTTTTATACATAAAATCTTCTCCCTGAGCAACCAAATTCATTTCATAGAATTGGTCTTGCTGAAATTCGGTGAGTCTTTTATAATTGCCAGTGACCAATAGTGTCCCTTGCTTTGTGCTTTTCGATTGCTGAACAAATCTTAAAACCGGTGTTCTCCCATGTCTATGTGCAGTTCTTTTACTGCATTTCATATTTCTTTGGCACTTTTGGGGGGTAGATAGGTGCTAAAAAGAAGTGGTTCCATGGAATTGACAAACCAAGCCTCAGCCATTGTAGTCTATTTATGGTAAAAGACGTGTTGGTCGGTATGAATTATTATAGCCATAACTTTGTCGGTCTATCATAGTCCCTAGATTGGAGCTCAAGTCCACTGAAGAGCTTACAAGATTCAATATGCCTTGATTATTTGCTATAATTCTGCAAGAAAATGTATTTTGTTTTTGGTTTTCTGTGAATGATAGAGTCTTGGACTTGTCTGATTTCTGTTTGAAGGCTATGAAGATGCTTCCCTCTTTGGAAGGGAATGAGCTGAGCAGATTTAGCGATCCTCCTGGAGATGCCTCTTTGGATGATTTATTTCATCCATTAGATAAACACCCTAGAGACTCTGCAGCTGAGGCTTCCACATCTACATCCACATCACACAGGACAAATGATAATGCATCTATGAATAATGGTGGGAAAAGTGATTTGGCGAAAGAGTTGAGGGAAACTATTGCTAGGAAGCCGTGGGAGAAGGAGAATGAAAATGGGAAGAATACTAGTGGTGGGAATCTTTTAGCCTTAATGATGGGAGTCATAAAAGATGATGTAATTGATATAGATGGTCTGGTATGATATTCAGTTTAGACTATCAAGTTCTTTCTTTATAATTCATTTTTTCATTCCTTTGACCCTTGCACTTGCTATATTCTTTCAATCAGGTTTTTGATGAAAAATTGCCTGGAGAAAACCTTTTCCCTTTTCAGGTACTGAGCAATGTTATATTTTGAGCTATCTTTTTGTGATAATATGATGTCGATATTTCTTCTTACAATGGTATACCTTTTCAGCATGAAATACTCTGTTATGCCTAGTCTGTGGCTGCCAGTATGTTCTCTTCGGTTAAATTTTGGTTTTGGATGTTCTTGAATGTTTTGACAAGATTTATTTTCCTGCTAGTAATGTTAGAGATATTAGTAATATTATTTTCGGACCTTCTTTCTCACAAGATTTTGAGATGAATGTTCCTTAACATGATACTAAATCCTTTATGATGGACCAGCAGAAGATGTCCTACTTGTCCAAAAATTATGTTAAACTTCCACACAATGTGTGGCAGACTTGTGCTTCATCCGTGCTTCATGCCCATTGGGTTTTCACTTGAGGAGGTGTACTTGTTGTTGGTAAACATAAATTGTTGAAATGAGGATATGTAGGAAAAATCTTTGCTTCAAAATTGGTGACATGGCACTTGTTCATGACCGTAGTGGTTTACTCAAGCACCGTGAGAGTAGTTAAAAAGAAAAAAGAAAAGATAGGAAGTAATTGAAACTGATACATGAGAAAGTAGGAAAAGCACTTACGTCAAGCCTCCTTATTGCATGTTATTCCCTTTGCTCAACTAACCAACTACGTATCACTCAACTTGTTAACTGCTTATGTTAGAACTACTCCCTCATATAATTTGTAAAGATCACATTGTTGATTTTCGTTTAAGATAAACTGACTTTATCTTGGGCAGAGTCTTAACAAATTTATCCAACTGATTGTTTTGAACTTTTTTGTGATAATCTCTTATCACTATTGGAGGTCTTGAACTTAAACATATTGGACCAGCTGTCATGTTTGGCGATGCTAATCTTTCTTCCTTATCTGTCATGCTTTGTGTATGTTTGGTAAATGAATACAAAGCAGAGGATAATATGCAATATCATAAGGACAACGATCATCAGCAAATTTTAATGATGGGAGAACTCCTTGAGTTCATCATCTTTAACCTTTGAGTGGCATCTTATCCAACAATATTCGTAAACTTTACCTATAGGGTCCCCAATTGTGTTTAACAAAGTGTCTCATGCTTTTAGTCTTCAGTATTTAAGTTTTTTTTTTCAAGGTAATTATCTGTCTATTTCTGTTCATTTGAGCCTACAATCTTTAACAATTGTCCTTTAACGGGTGCTTCAATATTGGCAAAATTTGAAATGGTTCCCCAGTGCTTCATAGTTTTTGACTCAGAATTTGATGTATTTACTGTAATAATTCTTTTGTAGGCTGTTGAGTTCAGCAAATTAGTTGGGTCATTGCGACCAGAGGAATCTGAAGATGTGATTGTCACTGCATGTCAGAAGCTTATCACTATCTTTCACCAACGTCCAGAGCAGAAGATTGGTTTTGTTACCCAGCATGGTTTACTTCCACTTACGGACTTGCTAGAAGTTCCTAAAACTCGTGTAAGTTTCTCATGTTACCTCATATGACTATTATTACTGTATGTATGACACTTGCGTACTTGGTGGGCGCTGCACAGACGTCTTACATGCTACATTATTGCAGGTCATATGTTCTGTACTCCAGCTTATAAATCAAATCATTAAGGATAATACTGATTTTCAAGAAAATGCTTGTCTTGTTGGATTGGTAAGTGCCGCACATGTTCTTTCATCCACCTTTCTCTGTGTTTCTGTTTTATGCTCTTGCTTATTAGGCTAAAATCTTTATTAGGGTTTGTTGAATTTAATGCCTCCCCACCCCCCTTCCTCCTAGTAATGTGTTAAAATCTCGAAGAATCCTATAATTCTTCATGCTATAACTGTAGTTTGATGGATGGAAAATTGCCATTTAAGTGCTGCCCAGCAATGTGCCTGTTGGCGACCATTGAATCAAGGGAATAATTTAAACTGTAAAGCCTTAGTTTTTGTCACTAAAATGCTGATACAGAGGTAAGATGCAGTGACGCATGGATAGAAATGATAGACGGAGAGATGTGATGATGGGTCAATGATTTAATTCAATTTATCAAATGATTTCCTCCGTTCTGTTTAAATGTGTTTCACATGTCGTCTCTTATATTAGGGGCTTTTTTTTTTTTTGGGGTTACCTGATTCTTCATGGTATCATGGCCCACTCTAGCTTGACTTGCGCCTACAAAAAATAAAACCTCTCAGATTGGAGAGTGCAAGGAGTGGTATTTCTAATCATTCAAAGCCACCATATACTAGAACATGTACCTCTTTAATGAGCTTGAACATTTCCGACTGGTTGAATCCTGAGTTTTGCTGCCATCCTGGGGGCATTTTGGAAGTTATCTTGGCTGGGACCTGGGGCAAGATTATCTTGCCCGTTTATCATTCCCAGGGCTGTTTTGGAAGTCATCTAGGCTGAGGGGGTGTTTGTTTGGCTGTTTAGCCTAGGAGGAGCATTCTGATTTTTCATCACCATAGGCATAGTTAGTTACTCATCATGCGTGTTTGTCCCTGATATTATGGGGAAGCTCTAAATAGCTGTGACTTTGTAGCTGTGATCTATTGAAGCTAGCTGCAATACATATATGGAGGATTAAACAATCGGCTAGTGAGTTTTAACCCTCAAGAGATAAGCAAACAAGCTTTTGAACTTACCTAACCTGACTGGAAATACACAGCTGAAAATGGATTAGATATTATTCTGTTTTTGTAATAAAGCAACATAAAATGTAAGTTACTCTTCCTTCAATAAGCGTTGCTGAATGCTAACAAAATGCATGCCCAACAGAATGTACTAATAAGCATGCATATTTTCCAACACTGAGTTAACAAAAATTCTGAAATAGATTTTCCTTTATATCTAGTCTTTCTTGACGCCTCTGTATCCTTCATCACTGCTATCTCCAAATATCTGAATGGCTTATCTAAGTTTAATTGCAAAACTCCATGGTAGATTCCCATGGTGATGAGCTTTGCAGTACCTGACCGTCCACGAGAAATTCGCATGGAAGCAGCCTTTTTTTTGCAGCAGCTTTGCCAGTCAAGGTCTGAATTTATTATGACAATCTTGGTTTCTTAATATCTTGAAAATGATGTGCTATATTGATTGTTGACACTTTGGTGCAGCTCATTGACATTACAAATGTTTATTGCTTGTCGTGGAATCCCAGTTTTGGTAGGATTTCTGGAGGCTGATTATGCCAAGTACAGGTTTGATTTTGTTCTTTATCTAAGGAAATAATTTTTATATTACTTTTTAGCGGTTTGCATTGCAATAATCAAATCTGATACATATTAGGAAGGGATTGCAAATGGCATAGTTAAGATGAGTCTCTATTTTGCTTTCAAAATACGAGGGTATTTTGTTAAATTTGATGATTATGATATGAAGGCTTTTGTGATTTATATCTTTTGATGTTAGAAAATAGAGACTTAGTCTGCTGATCTGAATATTTCCGTGTACTTGAATTTTGTTATTGTGTGTTCCCTTTGGAACAGCCTCTTTGATATTTTTGGTGAAAGTTAGCTATGTCCTAGTACTTTGTAGAAGTTTCTTCACCTACTAATCGGTGAATCAGACCCTTGTCTGATTCAGAGAATCAAACAGTTTAGACAATTATTGTTTTTTCCCCTATTTAGTCTCACCAAAGTGTGAGGTATTTTAAACAGGTATTGCATCTGTTAATTAAGCCAAATTATTTGAACTGGTTTCCATATATATGTGCGCGTGCAGATGCTGTGATCCATTGGTACAAAGGCTTTGAGATGAATGTTAGCTGGCTTAGTAGTGCATAGAGGAGAACAGCTTACTTTTGGTCCTGATCCATGTGTGAATTTTTCAAAATACGAAAAATTCACATTTCTTCACCCAAAACAATTTTGTCACCTTGTCCTATGCTGACCCCCCCCCCCAAAAAAAAAAAAAAGGCAGAAGTTCTCTGCAATATCGTCAACCTTTCTTTTTAAAAATTTATTCCTCTGCAATGTAACTTTTGTCTCTTGCTACTATCATATCTTGTATTATTCTAGAATGTTTAATTTTTTACTGAGTTAATTGGTTTAATTTGTGAACAAGTGGCTCAGTGATCCAAACCCTTCACTAGTTTTATGTATGGACAAGTTCCAAAGACCATGGTTCCATTAATATAAAATAGATATATTTAGTAAGTCTTAAAATATGTGATAAAATGCCTATAATATTAAAATAGAACATATTTTAAAAAATACTTATTAGTAAATTTATTTATATAATATTGAAGTCTAACATATTTATATAATCTTGAACTACATTGGGGAACCACTGCAATTTTAGTAAGAGGCAATTTAGAAATTATTTGGAGGTAAAAACTGAAGATAGACCATACCACAGGTATTAGAGTTCGTGCATCTAGTATCTATACTACAAAATGATGGTGAACTTGATGGACATGATATGTATAGGATACAAACTAGGTGATTGAAGCGGAGGAAGTCATTTGAGGTTATTTGAGATCGTATCATGCCTACTAAACTTGAAGGAAAATTTTTGAACTGATATGAGACCAACTGTATTATATAGTAGAGAATATTAGCTGTCGAAGGGACAATAAGAGCAAAAAACTGGGGTAAGATGCTCTTTAGCTCTATGAAAAAAAGTATAGGGAGACCAAGAAAGACATTAAGCAAGTTATTGATAAAGATTTATTAGTAAATGATATGTCTAACAAGCTGGTTGTTGATAGAGCACAATGGTGTCAAGTGATTTATGTATATAATGAGACAAGACTTGTTAAATTTAACAAATTAAAGAAGACAACAACAAAATGAATTTAGTATGAGAAATCAATCTTATCCTCGTGGGTTTTTCAGTCAAATGAATTTACTTCTTGTGGATATTTTGGTTTCTTGGAAATTCCGTGTATATTGTTTACTTTTGTGAGATAAGATTACAAACTACATGTTTGATTTTCATTGTCAACTTTCCAAGAATTATTTTGCAAACTCCTCTTTTGCAGCATGGTAGTACTTTCTATAGATGGCCATGTCTCATGTCTTCAGTGATGTCTGACTGCAAAACCTTTAGCATTATATGATAACTTATAACTTTCAACTATTCTTTTGGTAACACGCACATCAATGTCTGAATAAACTTACTTCACACCTATCTTAGGGAAATGGTGCACCTGGCTATTGATGGCATGTGGCAAGTCTTCAAGCTCCAGCGATCAACCCCTAGAAATGACTTCTGTCGAATAGCTGCAAAGAATGGAATACTCCTGAGGCTTATAAATACCCTTTATAGCTTAAATGAGGCAACACGACTAGCTTCTATATCTGTTGGGGTTGGATTTCCGGTTGATGGTTTGGCTCAACGTCCCCGTTCTGGTCCCTTGGATTTGGCACATCCTATTAGCATTCAGAATGATGCGTTGCTCTCTTCAGCAGATCAGTTGGATCTCCCTAAAGTGAGGCATGGGATACCTGATCATCACTTGGAACCTTTACATGCCTCAACCTCACATCCTCAAAGATCTGATGGTAATTTCTCTGTAGACGTTGATAGGCTTCAACCTAGCAATGCAGTGGCTGAATTTACATCAGAAAAAAGTACAAATGTAGCATCCAGGGAATCTTCAAAGGAGAGGGACAATGTGGATCGATGGAAAACTGATTCTTCTCGAGCAGATGTTGAACTTAGACAGCAGCGTATTAGTAATTCTGCTAGCAGGGCATCAACTGATAGGGCTTCGAAATTGACAGAACCTACATCAAATGCGTTATCAATGGCAGGTGCTATGCAGCAAGAGCAAGTTAGACCGCTTCTTAGCTTGTTAGAGAAAGAGCCTCCATCTAGACAAATATCTGGTCAGCTTGAATATGTACGGCAGGTGTCAGGATTAGAAAGGCATGAAAGTGTACTGCCTTTACTACATGCCTCTGAGAAGAAGACAAATGGTGAGCTGGACTTTTTGATGGCAGAATTTGCGGGTAATGAAGATCAATTTATGTACCATATTCTATGCTTCTATTTATGAAATATTGATAACAAAAGAAACTATAAAAAAGTGGGCAAAGAGTTGTTAAAATATAATTTCTCCAATATTAATAGAACAATCACTTGTTGCAAACCTGATAGATTAAGTGCCATAAGGTGTCTCCGTTGTTAGATGCAAGGACAGAAGTTTCTAATGAAGATTTTTTGGTATTTTTCTTTTTCAAGCAAAAGACCCGAAAAATTGCGTACTACCAAAAATTGTTACCATTCCTTTTCCTTAGAAACCTAAAAAAAATTATTAAAATCTTCCTTCAATCTTGCTGGAAACACCCATTTGTCATAATGAAGTACATTTTGTCTCATAATAAGAACTTGCTGAAATCTAAACATTATTGCTTGATCACTTTTACTTCTGAATATTATACTTGGATGAATAGAGCAATTATTTATTAGGACTTGTGTAGCTTAAATGTTTATCCATCGGAGCAAATTATGATATCTTAACTTCATCAAGATTTAACTTAGCCTAATTGCAATTATTCACCTATTAGGCTTCTACTTAACCTTGAGACTTTAAAGAAAAATTGTTATTGAATTATCTCTTAATCAGCTAAAACATTTGTTTGTAACAACACTATTTGATAACACGTCAAGCTTTTATGTAATTTCATAACCTGTACAAAAGATCGGGCAGTTTAGCTCTATTGGTACACATAATAACTTGGTGTTTATGCTGCCCTAAGCCTTATAGTTAAATCTCAAAATTACACACACTTGACATACGCGCATTTATATATACACATTACAGTTTCAGAACGGTTGATTCCAATATATAGATATATACACACGTGCACTCAAATTATATGCATCATGTTAGTTAATCTTTACATTGCTTTCTCCTTGAAGCTTCACCTGAACATTTATTAGAAATAGGTTGAGATAAAATATTAGTAGCAAGTATCACAATCCATTATGTATATGCATGCAAATATCCAAATGCATGCAAATTGATAAATGACGTTCTGTTTTAATAGATAGATTTGACAAATCAAACTACAATGTCATACTTGCAATTGGTATTACGAAGTTGATGGCCAACAATTATGGGGGAGGCCAATATCAACTCGATTCTTTCTAGTGATCATTGCACAAGGCAATTTGATCATTCAATTTCATCATATCTGAATTCAATATCCAAAAGAAACAATAATCAACGGGAAAGCGATTGGTTAAAATGCAACTGTTTGAAGAATGAAAATACTTGCCACCTTTGTCATTTGTTACCAGTTTGTGAAGGAATGTGCCCAAAATGACGGTAAAGCGCATTTCTCCTCAATTCTACCAATGATATTGGTTCAATCCTTAAAGAATGCCAATCAAATTTCACCTCAAGGTTTTACCTCAAATATGTGATTCGTGCATAAGAGAGAATAAGGTGATGCTATCTTTGCTTCGGATTTGCTATATGGAAGATAAAATGGAGTAAATGGGTACATAATTTGGTCAGGGAAGATCGTGAAATGGGAAAGGTGAAGCCTTAAGTCGTGGGTTTAAGTCTGAGTGGTAAAATGATGCAATTTTCCTCCTAATTCATTCAATTTAATTCACATTCCCAATATTTTTTATTAATTACTAATCTATCCCTGTTTTCCTAATGAAGTTAAACACTAACTAAACTTGTGTGTGTGTGTGTGTACATATAACCATTCAGTTATTGTCTAGACTCATGCATATAAATAAAGTTAAACACCAACTAATATGTAAATATATATAATAATTTCAAGTTAAATATTGGTTTTATACTGTGATAATCATTATAATTCTTTTTTTTTTTTTTTCAGAACATGGGGTTTAATTTAGTTATAAGTACCCGTTTTTTTAATGTTCTAGCATTTCCAAAATATAATCCTCCTAAACCTAACAATTTGATTGCTAATTCTATTCTGCTCATACTCGGGGATAAAATCTTGGGGATATGACATAAATTTTCTTCTTGGCCATTTTAAGACTTGTTGAAGCCAGTTCTAGCTTGCATTGTGACTGTAAAAGTTTATAATCACATATGTTTAAGCCAGTTCTTCAGAGTTATCCAATTGCATATCTACGTTATACTGACTATGTCCTTATTTTTTGGTAGGGATTGTTGTTATGAAGAATAATGCTTGGTACATTATTCATCTAAATCTAAATTCAAATGCATTTATAGGCTAAGGAGTAGAAGTCTGGAAATTGTTAATAAATTAATCTCATTTAGCATAATCCAAGATTGTGACGTGCAGTACCTTTTTATTGTGAAAATACAAATTTTCTAAATAGAATACCAAAAATTGTTAATAAAAAAGAAAGAGACATTTTTGCCCCTGTATTGTGTTAAAGTTAATAGCTATATGTGCCACATAAGTAGGTAAGTACTACTCTGCTTTGTGCGCATAGTCTTCCTTTTCTGTGATTTGACCGTTATCATATATATCGAAACGATTGTCACTTTTATGGTAATGCAGATGTTTCCCAACGTGGAAGAGAAAATGGAAATCTTGACGCTGGTGCTAGAGTGTCTTACAAAGCTGCTTCAAAGAAACCAGGGGCTCTGGGGTCTAATGAAGGGGCTGCTTCCACATCTGGGATTGTATCTCAGACAGCTTCAGGTGTGCTGTCTGGTTCAGGCGTCTTAAATGCTAGACCTGGCAGTGCAACTTCATCGGGGCTCCTTTCCCACATGGTTTCATCATTGAATGCTGATGTTGCCAGGGAGTACCTAGAAAAGGTGGCAGATCTTCTTCTTGAGTTTGCTCAAGCTGACACGACAGTGAAGTCTTATATGTGTAGCCAAAGCTTGCTCAGCCGTCTTTTCCAGATGTTCAATAGGGTGGAGCCTCAAATTCTGTTAAAGGTGGGATGCAAAAATTTTCCTTTTCTGTTGTCCCTTGTTTGCTACATTCATAACTTTCTGACAATTTTAGGTCACTTCTATGTTTCTAGATACTGAAGTGTATTAATCATCTTTCAACTGATCCTAACTGCTTAGAGAATCTCCAACGTGCTGAAGCAATAAAATACTTGATACCAAATCTGCAACTCAAAGAAGGGCCTCTAATATCACAAATACATCATGAGGTCAGTCTTGCTGTCTAGTTTACTATCGTTATTGTCTGTGTATTAGAAGGTAAATACATTTTTCTATCTGATATATGAATTACCAGTCACTAACATATATGACTGACAGGCAGCCCATCAACTGTATTCATGTATGTTATTTCCTCTATTCTTTTAAGTCTTGATAAATCACGTTTGAGGGAAAATGCCCATCTGCATTTGAAGAGAGAAGTCTAGCATGTCTTGTATTCAGACTTGGTTATTTAGTGTCATATTTGTTTGTCCTTTTCTTTTTTCCCCTTTTGTTGCCTTCTCTCTTGGGGGGCTTCTTATCCGCCTTTCATGTAATTCTGATTTTCTCTGATAGAGTCTTTCTTATGTAAAAAGAGAAGAAAACTGTAGTCGTGTGCTCTCCTCTTTATCATAAATATCTGGCCTACAAGGCACGTCACTAATAACTCTTTGGACAGAGAGTTGACTATATTTTTACTTTTGTTTTCCCCCTGAAGGTCTTGAATGCACTGTTCAGTTTATGCAAAATAAACAAGAGGAGACAAGAACAAGCTGCTGAAAATGGGATTATTCCCCATTTGATGCAATTCATCACCTCAAATTCTCCCTTGAAACAATATGCATTGCCTCTATTGTGTGACATGGCCCATGCATCTCGAAATTCAAGGGAGCAGTTAAGGGCCCATGGTGGTTTGGATGTCTATTTGAACCTTCTTGAGGATGGGACTTGGTCAGTTACGGCATTAGATTCTATTGCTGTTTGCTTGGCTCATGATAATGACAATAGGAAGGTTGAACAAGCATTACTAAAAAAGGATGCGGTGCAGAGGCTGGTCAAGTTCTTCCAGACTTGTCCAGAGCAGCATTTTGTGAAAATACTGGAGCCATTCTTGAAAATCATCACGTATGTACAGGATTTTATATCCTTTTTATATCCTTTGTTTAATCTTCCCATAAATTATGGACCTGATTTTGTTGTCCTGAAAACTTTTGCCTTCTCAAATGTTAATCATACATGGATAGTTTATGACTCTCAGTCACCCGAAAAAGAGAGAAAAAATTGTTGCATCAAGGTCCTTGCCTCTATTGAAGTTGGATGAGTGCGGGGAAGATGAACTAGTATTAGTTATTTAACAGACAACAGCCCAAAAAAAAAAAAAAAAGCAGACAAGAAGAATGAAGAAGCTAGGTTTTTGTTAAGGTGGGGTTTTGGAATATACCAGGTATCTGATTCAAGATATTAGAACAACAATGATAAAGGGAAGGGAAACAATCTCACTTAAGCTTTAAATTGAGGGTCTCATACTAAGACATTAATCTTTGTGGAACTTAATGTTGGAAATGCATTTAGATAGGCTAATGGAGCAAAGCTTTACAGCTTAACTAATTTTGCCCATTTCGTTTGTTTATTTCATATAATGAATGAAATATTTGGTTCTTGCTGACTTCAAATCAATTATAACTTCATGATATACAATTTTCATTCTATACATGTCATCAAATTATTGCAGAAAATCTGTACGGATCAATACCACATTAGCTGTTAATGGATTAACGCCCTTACTGATTGCAAGGCTTGATCATCGAGATGCTATAGCTCGTCTTAATTTACTCAAGCTGATAAAGGTACACATTATCCTAATGTTTTACCTGGAATGGATATATATGATTCTTGTCATGCATACTGAAGTTTGTACTAGATGCAGGCTTACTAGTAGATAATGGAACAGGATCTTGCGTTTGAAATTATCAAAATTCCACATAGATGTAGCTTCACAATCACGTAATTCAGTTTTCGTCTAGCTTTTTCTTGCTGGCAACCAAACTTGGTGTTTGTGTCGAGTACCAATTTAGTTGACGAACTTTTGCGGGACAATTACCAAGCCGCATTGTTTACAAGTCATGAACATTGCGTCTTGCCATGTGGGACTCCGAGCACAGTAAACAGCAGTCTATTCTCGAAAGAGAATGTCTCAATGTTTTAACATTTTTTTAACCAAATCTTAATGTTTGGACACGAGCGAAGTTACAGTTATATGTCCCCCCCCCCCCCAAAAAAAAATCCGTTTCTAGATGTGCATTTCATAGGATCTATTTACTGGGTCCGCCAATTTGAATGTTTTGTCTGGAATCAACACATTGGGATTGTAATACCCGATAATTGTATGCTTACATGTCATTTTATTGTGTCAGTGCGTTGCGGTGTGTGTTTGAAATGTTTTACCTAGGAGGGTCTCTAATTATATTGCTGTGGCAGGCTGTTTATGAGCATCACCCTCAGCCCAAGAAGCTGATCGTAGAGAATGACTTGCCTCTGAAGCTACAAAACTTAATAGAGGAAAGAAGAGACGGGCAAAGCTCGGGAGGCCAAGTGTTGGTCAAACAGATGGCTACTTCCTTACTTAAAGCTCTACACATAAACACGGTTTTGTAAATTTGTATTGTTGAAATATTCTCCCCTTCATGTATATATTTTGTCAGGGGAACAGGGTGAGTAAGGATTCTCTCCCTCCCATTTCTTCTCCGCTCTCATCTTGACTATTTGATCAAATTTGGATGCTTCAGTTTAATATTTTATAAAATTATTTTCAAAATATTAAATGATAAAAAAACAAAATTCTTCTATGGATTAAATTTAACAGCTTAAATTTATATATTTATCTCTTATCATTTAATTTTGTAATAATAATTTTATACAATATTAAATATGAACTTAATTTTTCAAATGGGTGAGATAAGAAGGGAAGGAATATGGAAGGGGAGAGGATATTTCAAGGTAATTGTCGTATATAAAATTTCCCTCCCCCCCTCCGCCCTTCAAAATATTTAGTTCGAGACTGAAGGAAGATGCCTAATTTTATTGTTTGCAATTGGAAGTTAAATCGTCCTGATTGATTCTTAGGCATGCGTCCTATCAAAGTAAGGGGAAATTTCTCGGTATTTTGGGCATTTATGCCAAAATGGTTCTGGTTTCCACTTATTAATTAATAAATTATTTGTATACTTGTTTTGCCCTCAATGGAAAATAATACTATCATTAAACAAAAGAACCATGCATGAAAGCGCTAGTGCTGGAGGACGGACGAGGAAAAGAGTAGCTGGGTATCCTTTTTCGCAGCTTCAAATCTAACACTTCCTTTCAATGGAAGTGTAGCACCGGCCTCCATATCTCCCCCACTGCTACAAATACATTCTTCTTCCGCATCGTCTGACGAGGTTCAGATAACTGATCTACATTTGGTGATGATCACATTATTCGGCAAGACACAAGCAAACTGAAGGAACAATAATTCTTTTGTTTGCCCATTTTAAAAGAAAGGGTTAACTTTGGTGTCACCACACAGCACTAATATTGTTCCAACTAGTTGCATTTGTTTTTATCATAGCTGCCTAGCTCACCCCGTATTTGCAGCATGGCAAAATCACTGGCATCACATTTTGCAAAAATGGGAGAGGAATGGAGGGTGCTATACTTCCATTGAAAGGGAGTTAGATTTGAAGTTGTGAAAATGAACGCTCTGCACCTTTCCCCGTCCGTCCTCAACACCAACGCTTTTTCCTTTTATTTGAATATGAAAAAATCCAAATGGAACTGAGGTGGAAGTAATTTTAAGGATGTTTTGCCACATAGAATTAACTTAAAAATGATAAGGATAATAATATGAAAAAAATGAAAAGATAAAGAACTAAGTTATAAGCGAACTAAAAATAAAATTTCCTTTTAATTTTCAAGCACGCAGGTAGAAACCGCTAAGTCAGCCTATTAAAACCAGAGTCACACACAAGAAAATCCAGAAAAAAATCCTAAACTGGAAAAGATATCTCATGTCTTGCTACCACACATTTCCATGTGTCGAATGTGATGATTGAAATTGATCAAACATCTGCTTCAACAAAAGACAATGTTCTACTGATAATCACTATTACATCTCATTAACTGCACAGCCACCAAGGCTCCGGTAATTCTCATAACTCGATTTCTTACGTATTATCTTCAGCGCCCTGCTGTACGACGAAACGCCATCGTTGGTCATCACCATAATGAATTCACCAGAAAAATTCCACAAACATATTCACTGCGGGCAGTCTTTTCTTGATCAAGTTATCACATCCATCAAGTCAAGAAGACAAGGGAGCACTTCAATCATCATTTTATAATCAGCGGTTTTGACCATACCTTCAACTAGTTGATGGGAGAAAAACCCTTAATAGCTCTTTTGCAGTAACCTTTTTCCCACACGTAAGGCATCTGCCCTGTGCATTTATTGCAGCCTTAATGCAACTCTTGCAAAAAATATGACCACACCTTGTCGACATTTCTTCTACCAAAGGATCCGTACATATTGAAAACAGGCTCTTTGGGTGGTTCAGGAGACTTCCTAACATTTTTTTTCTGCAAAATAATATTCAATTCAGCATTTTGCACCCCACTACACATCCAGAGTCAGCTATCAATAATTTCTTCATTTGCCTGAGCCAGAGGCAAGATTCCAACGACTAAGAATTTACATTTCATTCCATTGGGTTAAAATACAGATTCCCTGCCGCTAGTGCAGCACGATACCAACATCTTAAAGCAGCTTAAGGCACAAGATTACAAAAATGGCACAGAATTATGAAAGCTCCGTGAAAAAGGGGAGGGTGTCAACATAAATTTTGAAAGGGTGAACAAAGTACGTCTTATATTTAGGACCGGAGGAGTATTATATATCAGACAGCCAGCTTTGCAAATCAAAGAAAAAAGAAGCATAGGATGCAAGGCAATGTAATGCGTAGCAAGAGAATTTATTACCATAGAACCGCTACTGTCTTCCAAGTTTATATAAAGATCACACTTAATAATTGTTTGGCTTGGAGAATCTCTTCTGCGTTTGTTGCGATTATTATTAGTTACCCTAGTCCGATCTTCTGCAATAATCATTAATTAGATGTAGATGCTAGCAACTATCAAGAAGAATAAAAGTCACATGGCCAACTTTACATTAGAAAAGTGGGGGGGGGGGGAATCAAATGAAGCACCTGTCAATTAGAAATTTTGAGCAACATGGGTTCCCCCAAACACCCCCCCCCAAAAAAAAAAAGAAAAAAAAAACAGTTGCCATACTTTGATAGCTAAGCAAGGGCAAATCAGATATAATTAGGGGCAAGAGCTCTGAATGAACATTATAATTAAACTGTTCATAGACTCAATATGAGTGTTCTAAAAAATTCTGAAAAAGAATGCTCCTGCAATGAAACAACAACAAACATAAGGATCATTTAAATGGATCTGATCTACTGCAAACCAGTCACCTGACCACTTCATCCACCAAGTGGCTGATAGGGAATGTCTAGACAATTAATATGGAAATATAATGCAATAGTAGAGTAGAAGGAACAAGATCAATGTCAGAAGAAAGCAAACAAACCAAACTTATGAAGGTGGAAAAATAAATGAAGACAACTTGTTTGTAGCAAAACTCACATTAAGCGAGTGGGTATCAGGTACTGAAAAGTGTGTGATGTTAGACGGAACAATGCAAATTAGATAGTAAATCAGATTAAGTAGATGAAATTCCCCCAAATTTAAAAGCCAATGAATGTGCGTCATAATCTACATAAAATAATTCTGCGTATTCAGTGACTTTGACCCAAGAAACTGTTGTTATCACTTAAGCCTATGCAGGCTGCTCCAACCCTCATTCGAAAGTTCTAGGCATTCTTAAAGTTTTAGTCTTTTGGAAGATTAGCAAGAATTTTGCGTAATTTGCAAACACCCCTACCACCTTTGACCTTATTTAACATTTCAATGGGTAGACTACGAGTAATCTTGACGTGATTCTCCTGCCTGAAAAGTGCTCTCTTATTAAGAAAAACATTAAGACAGCTACCAATAGTAGATGAGTACCATGTAGTATTTTTACGAGGTGGCAATATTCTAACTCATCCAACAGCCATCATGTCAACAGAATTTGAAAAGAAAAGGTGGAGGAAATTCAAAACCGGTTTTAGCAAAATATCAAGATTCATAACAAAGAAACAAAATAAATATCTCATGACACTTCCAAACTAGGCACCAAGATGGCAGAAAGGGATGATGGTACCTAAATCCACATCAACTATAGCCCTGCTGCGATTTCTCCTCGAATTGTTTTTAGCCTTAAGACCAAAGAGAAATGAACCGATAAAATAAGTTCCCAACGATCATTTTTAATCAAGACTGGAAGTATAAAAGCGATGAAGTGCATGAAAGGGGTCAGTTATACCTCAGCAAAAGCCCGGGGAGTAGATTCAACAACATCATCATCAATGGCCTCAACATCAATCATCGCAGATTGTACAACCTGCGGTTGAAGACTAGCCCGAACTCCTTGAGGCCGCAGCTGAGTTGAAGGTGCCTCCAGCTCCCGACTTTCACCAGGCGGGGCCCTGTTAAGGTCCAAGTCCAGAGCTGTCTTCCTCCGCCGGTGACTTCGGACAGACGCACCCCTGAGTGCCCGAGTACTCATTATATTCAAGATTTCCTTTGCCAAGTTCAAACCTTAAAGAGGGGAAAAACAAAGATACAACACAACAACAATACTGCACACAATGGTGATGATAGCGGTTAGTGAGTCAGCACTTCTGAAAGGGGAAACTATCTCTAAACAGAATGATAGTATATTAAAAAAAAAAAGAAAAAAAAAGCAAGAATTTCAAGGAGATAATAAAAACAAAAATAGCATCAGCATCTAAATTGCGTACAAAAGCACACAGTAATTAAGTTAAACTGACTACAACTCTTCTCACCGGTTTTTCATTTTCTGTACCGACAAGGCCAACAATTCTACATGAACAGGTTTTCTTAATCACCATGGACTATAGATATAATTTCTACCTTAGTAAAAACTAAAAAGCTAGTGCAGGTTCAGACCTATCCTCAAGTTGAGATTGCAACTTTAAATGTTACCTTGGCAATTTCAAAGCAAATTGGACCATCATTCTTAGGCTGCCTCCATGCTTACATTCAAATTTTAGCTAGCCCCCAAGCATTTGCTATTCATTAATTTGTCTCAACACCAGAAAGTTCCAGTATTTTCTTATGGTCACGTAAGGTATAAGCGACCAAGAAAATTTTAAAATAAAAAAGGAGGCAAAAAAAAACCTTGAATTGTGATTTACAAAACCAAATGAACAATTATAAAAAAACTACAGAATCTATAAACGGTACCAATTAGAGAAATTCTTGGACGCAGAACTCAGAGAGACACAGAACAGAATTTAGTTAGACGAGACGATGGAGACAAGTGTTTGGGGTTTGAAGCACAAAAGGCTAAGGAGGGTTGGGCGAAGAGAAAAGAATGGGAAGACTAATAGACTCCACAATCTGTCCTCTTGCGGGACGAGTAACGAGAAAGGTGTCTGCGAGGAAAAGCCCATGAAAGATTCAGATTCCATATGCGTCACATTTTTTGTTTAAAATTAAATTTAATATATTAGTATTTAAAAATATTTTATTAACACTTAATATCTCAATATTATTATATTTTACTAATAGTTTTAGAGTTAAAAAATAAAAAATATATTTTTTTAAAATTAAGAAACTAAAAATATCATGTAAAATTAAAGGAATAAAAATATACTTTTTGAAAAA